ATCACATGCACGAAATCATGTCTATGTTTGTCTTTCAGACTTCTCGAAAGACACTCCTCGCACGACTTACAGAGTTGTATGACGTGACTAGCAAAAAGAAAAAAGAAAAGTCAATAAGGACAAGCAAGACGGAAAATTTAGCTGAGGCTATCAAACATGCTGATGAGGAGGTCCGCAGATTGGAATACTGGAGCGATATCAAAGGAATGGCTGAGAACGGTGAGACGGTTGGCGCTGTGGATCACAAGCAGGGCTGGGATTCGTGTTGGCAGGGACTCGACAATAGTGGTGCCAAGGGCATCAATAACCACGAAATTCCGTGATAACGACCTCGGTATTTGGACGGGCTATGCGAGAGGTACAGAGGCAAGGGTTTAATTTTTAATTCTTTTTTTTCTTTTCGGATACCCTTACAAAGGATTATAGATGCATATAGGTATGTGGCATTCCATGTTATTGCGAAAACCGTAGGACTTAGCTATGGCACCTCATCTCACGTTATCTATCAATAATCTTGGTCCAACCACACCCTCGGTTGATGTGTAAAGTGCGCGAGTGTATTATTGGTATGCTATTTATGGATTTAATGTCCCCTTGCATACCAATTATTCCCACCCAAGAACCGTTACGCGGCAGTTTACCGAAGACGATTGGGTCAAGAGCACTGTTGTGTCACCCACCACACGGGGTACGTTGAGTGGTGATAACGGGTTCAGCCGCAACCGCTAAACCCGGTAGAACCCAGCCCGAGCCAGCCATAGGATGCGGCTCCAGCTCCGCGTATAGTATATCTGAACGGCCCAGGTTCCCGTCTACGCGATGGCGCGTTCTAGAAGGGGGTAGCTGAGCTGTACAGTGGCTATGTAAGCACAAGAGATGGCTTTCGCTTTCCGTGGGGGTGGGAACCATGCAAACGCAACCCTACGCCGCACACCAGGGGTATATATGCAGTGAGTCAGGTCCTTTGAGTAGCCTACTTATTATCTACAGTATGTCATCGGAATTTTGCCTTCCGCCTTCGCGAGGTCGCGTCGCATGGTAGCGAGCTCTATTTCCGCTTACTTGCTTGAGATCCCATGTCGAACACGTAGAAAGTTCAGCTCTTTGCGATCAGCGAAGGCGCTATATATCGCGCCCTATCGTAACACTACCACTTCCCCATAGGGTCTCGGCGTTCCCTATCTATTGACCTCGACACTTGTTTTCCTTGCATAAGATATGAAGGGGGTCTACGACTTTGATATCTTTCTCTTTGGACTCAGGAGCTTCCAGTCCGGTTTTAAACGGCCTCGACAATGGGAAGCAGCTAGGTCGGGTACTCACGCTATCTATTGAGATAGCCGCGATGGGAAACATGTCCGTGATATTGGCACTAGTTCGTTGAGCCCAGAGCTGCTTTGCGCCTCGTACTTTTGAGTTTTGCCCCTTCAAGGTGATATTATGCACAGTTCCATTTTACTGCATGAACGACCATGCCGTGGGGGTTGGAAGACCCCTAGGCATTCTTGTACGGATGTGTGTTGCCGGATCTTCCGTAGTCGTAGCATTTAAACGACGTAGGATAGGTTCCCATCCGTTACTATTCGGGGGTCGGTGATATATACATCGTTCCTTCTTCACTGGACCCTCTTGGTCGAGAACCGCCCATCAGGTCATATTTCCACTCTTCTGCTATAGTCCAGCATCATTATACCGAATACTTCACGAGCTATTCTTGTCGAGCCTCCTTCAGTATTGCTAGTCTTACCGACGATTAACATGGTGCCGCTAGTGAGGCCGAAAGTAGGAGACCGTGGATTATTTACACTTAAACCGTCGTCATCTGCTGGGTTCGCCTCTTTGATTGGGAATGGAAGGGCGAGTGGGAGTGGGAATAAGGCTGGAAGTCTAGATGGTAGAATCAAGGCTTACGATACGGTCGTGAAGCCTTGGGCTGATCAACCATGGCCGCTGATCGAGGTCCCGGCGAGGACACAAAATGTGTGTATTAGTTCTTTCGTACAATTTTGGGATATTGGTTCTCTTCACGTGCAAAGGATAGGTTTGCTTGCCTGGCCCTTGACTTGGTCCTCATTATATGACTCTTTACTTTTCGAGGTTATCCACTCGCCTATACACCAAGATTCAAAGCCAACATCTGATCCTCGAGAATATACGAAGACATCCAGACAGTAGCTAACAACAAGCTTTTAAGATCACACATCCGGCGCTACACATCGCCAACGAGATCTCACACATTCACAATGCCATGTTACGTGGACTTAACTCGATATACCTCCAAGCACCACATGTGCGACGAGAGCGGGATATAGCGGACTTGTTGTTCCTGACGCAGAGCTGGAGTACCTGGCTCCTCGATCATCACCATCTCAAAGAGAACACCATGCTCCCCGGTTTTGAAGCCGCGTTGGGCGTACCGGCGGGTACACTCACATTGCCCAGTTCATCGACCGCCTCTGGGATTACAGATGGAGGTATAACGATGAGGACAGTGAAGGGTAAAGAGAGGGAGAGATGCATCAAAGAAGATGGTGAGGAGGAGGAAGGACAGGGAGAAGACACGATATCCTTCCTCTTACACCGCGTCTACGCATACGCATCTGCCACACACAAGGATCCTCAGGCGTACAACGCGACGACGCTACAGAGCCTTCTCAGCGCCCTCGCTGAGGTCCTCGCACCCCATCTCACGCGGCAAGTTGGGCTCCTCGTATCCATGCGGGAGATGTGTTTCGGCTCCTTCCAAGGCTGGGGGAAGACCAATATTAATACTAAGCACAAAGAGGTGGACAGAGCCGAGGAGATCCCTGGTCCACTGCCTATCCCCATGGTCAAAATCACGAAGACGATTTCTTCTTCTCCGCCTACGTCGCCGCCAATTTCTCCCTCCTCATCCACGTTCTCGACACCCTCGGCCCCGACGCCTTCATCATCGACTTCGTCTCCTACGCACTCTCCGCCGAATGTATCGCTTTCTTTATTCCCGTCTACTGCCACGGTCACATCGCGACCAGTGACACGGCATGGCAAAACGAGCAGTAATAGTAGCAGCAGTATCGCCAACCTCAACTCCAGCGCCGGCACAAGCAAGGACAATACGAGCAGCAGCAGCGGGAACGGGAAACACACCCCTGGTAGTAGCGGCAGTAGTGTTGGTGGTGGTGGTAGTCCTCCCGCATCCAGAAGCATGTCAGTAATAGACAAAGACGCCAAAGCCCGCCTGGCGCAAGCCCGCGCCCTCCTCGAGGCCGACGACCGCGCCAACAAGCTGACGCAGATCCACGCCGCAGCCGACGCGCAGGCAGCGGCTGGTATGGATCCCTTCGTTATCCTGCCTATGATTGTGCGGTTGCGCGATAGCACAATATCCCCTCCCTTCTCACACTCCTCTTCATCCTCAGTGTCGCGCGTGCCGTCTTCGTCATCGCTGTCGTCGTCGAACGACTCTGGCAAAGGGGTGAGTATGGGGATGGGAGTGGGTGTAGGGGCCATTAACGCGGGCGGGGTGGGAACAGGAGGAGCAGGGAGTAAGGGCGAGTGGCCGAGGATGTCGGTGCCGGCTATCCATGCCGTCGCGGATAAGCTCTCGCCTAGACATGCGGGTGCTTGGCGGTTTCTGCCGTGTGATGTCTGGGGACGGCCTAGGGAGTTGCCTTTTCTGGGGATCTGAAAGGGGTGTGCGGTTATGATATGTGACGGGTGGAAGGGGTGGAAGGGAGTGTAGATTTGACGGCCTGGTACAATAATGAGTACATATATTTTTGTATTTTTATGGTTGTGGGATAATGAGACGAGTAAAGCAACGATTTAGAGTTTATGCTTGGGATATATGGGTGGCTGGGAGTTAGGGAATGAATATAACGTAGTGGTAACTTCGCCTTATGCATCCTGCGGGACTCACAATGCAGTGCTTCTCACAGATTCAGCAATGTGTATTATGTAGATATTTAGGTTAGCTATTAGGGTCGGGTGCTGGCAAATTATCTTCGTCCTTGTTGGAGGTAAGATCAGTCTGTGTTGGGTTGTCGACCGAAGCCGAGCACAGCAGGAAACCCAGCAAGAAATTACCTCCCGCTCAATAGACTGTTTCTCGGATTGAAACCCAAGAGAGCTCTTCCGACGAAGATTCAGATGGAAGTGAATCAGTAAAGAGCTTCTTTTGCTACTATTCACGAAGAGGAACTCATATACATGATGAGCAAGATCAACTAGCGGATTGGCAGCCTCGCTCTAATAAGGACAACGTCTCTCTTGGAGTGATGGAGATTATGACATGAGCCAATAGCGCGTACACGAGATTGGAACAAACATGGTAGTATGGACTCAGCAACGCCGCTGACGAGGCTATATAGAACAGTTCTACGAGCAGTGATAGCATGACAACAATTCTGTGACCCCTAGACTACACTTTGGATTATAAGCGTTTGTATGAACATATATAAGCATGTGCATATACTGATATCGATTGAACTGATGAGGACAGCCAGTTAGATGAGGACGAGATCTTGAACATAATATATCTATAATACAGGCATAGAAATCAACAAAGCAAATGAAGTTCCTCACGAGGATGACCACTCGGCGGAGTAAACACACTCTCACATTGTTATTGTCATTGTTAAGACCGTCGTGGGAAAATAGAGGTATACGAGAAGAGACTACAAAGGGATGATGTTACGAAGCGTGTTTTAAACTGGAGACGTCAGGATAATCGAGATCATTGGTTACCCAGTACTAGGGTCTAGGAAAAGAGTCATCATGATCTCTACCTAGGTATCTATTAATCTCTATTTCAAGGACAGGGTCCTCGAGGGGAGTATATAGGAAAGCTTCCCGCTAAGCAATAACAGAACAGAAGAGCGGGGAAAAAATCCCCAAGGCGAGACAAGGGAAGACAAACATAAAATAAAATTCATTATAAAAAGACGAAAAACAAAAAAATTCACGAAAAAAATTTTTCTGGGTTACTACTCTCAGTTTATGAGAGGCATCAGGAATTGAGCCCGATGCGGGGGTCGAACCTGTGATCGTGATTAGCACATGATCTGATGGTTTGCATGTGGACGTATGAACTTACCCGCAACCTTGAGATTAAGAGTCTCACGCTCTACCGATTGAGCTAACCGGGCGCTTGTTGTTGAAATGCATGCTGGCAAAGTGTGTTTATTACTCGGCCAGGTGTGCGGGATCGGAATGCTAGCGTGGGGTTCGGCGGGTTTTGAAGAATTGTGTGCGGGGTGTTTGTCACCGCTCGACAGCTGGCGATATACTCGGTGTGCATGTAAGCTCTCTATCAACCTATGACTACCGTATAGGGAAAGGCGCTGTGTAGAGAATGGTTCTTTGGCTGGAGAACGCAACGCCTGTATAACTACCGTTGTATAGGAAAAGAAGCGTTGCTCACCTAGATGAAGCTTCTGATTGGCTGGTAGGCAGAATCGCTGTTATTTGATTGGCTGGTTAGCTTGGCTGGCCAACCTAAGTTTTCGGCCAATTAGAGCCCTTAGATAGCCCCACCTACGCTGCAGCCCGAAAAAAAAAATCAAGCGCGCACCCCGGGAGTCGAACTAGTACTACAACCTATTATTATAGTGGATATTACAAGCTACAGGCTACAGGCTACAGGGCTACGCATATTACAGGCTACAAATTACACTACGTCTACACCACTACGCTACGCTACACATTTACATCTTACTAGTACAATTGGCTGCCCTGCTATACAGGGATAATACCGGCCAACCATAGCCTAGAATTACAGTGGGCAATGCATCTTTTTGGGCAACGCTTCTTTTGCTGGCAACGCTTCTCTAAAAAGGAACGCTTCTCACCTCCAGTATTTTCCCACTACGGTAAGCAATGCGACAAACTGAGGATATTCCCCCCTAGCTTACCTGAGGGTAACTTTACTTTTACAGCTGCTACTAGGTAGCAGATAACTTTTACTAGCTAAAAAAAGCTACTTAAAAGTATTTAGCTAGAAAACAAAAGCTTCGTAAGCTTAAAAAGCAAGCAGCAGATTAAGATCGAATTTATTGCACTTTTTCTGGAGTAAAGGCCGGCGCGGAGCGTATACCCCCCGGAGGTTAAACAATTTCAAAAAAGGAGAACTTTGGATTCTCGCGGCGCAGCCGCTGCGGCGTAGCCGCCTAGTACAAAAAAATACTTGGTTTAACAGCTGTAAAAATGAAGATACCCTCAGGTAAGCTAGGGGGGGATACCCTCAGTTGATCTGCATACTCCCCATGGCCCAGCGCATGATGAAATATCTATAACAAATGATAGACTGACTTGCGCTCAGCTAGCTAACTCACTCTGTATACATAGTCGTCAGAACGACCGAAGTCTCACAGTCAACGGAGTCGTATATAGTAACGGACTGATGGTCTTGCTCTCGCTATACGGATAGAGTATCCTTGAGTTAGCTGACTAACTGACTTGCATCTTCGTAGTCGAGACTGGGTGGACTATAATTCGATGCGCCTTTACTGCTCTAAACCACATGGCAACTGGATATTGACTGTTGACGCTAACTATAGATTGAGTCGGTCGCTCATTCAAAACTGAAGAACGCGGGTATTAAAAGAGCTGACTCAATCCCATGCCCCACGACGCCCCCAACATTCTTCTGCTTGCGCTTAATTGACGCCTCTTAGTCATGACCGCTCGGCCAGGCATAGCTATAGAAGGCTCGAGTTCAGAATCGTTTGTTCGTAGCAGCGAGGCCAATATCACGGTCTACAAAAGAGCGATGCAATATTCCTCACATTATCTCTCGCCGTGCAAATCGAGCTCACCTTGGTAATAAGTGCATAAAAGGGGGACACTTGCGTCCAGGATATCTGGGACGTGTCCATGTATCGATCCCTCGTTCAACCCGGAATGCGAACATCAATCAATCAACAAGAGCGCGCATGTGAGACAAATCTCCCCCCATCAATTACCAAATCCAAATTCCAGTAGCGCAGGTGAGCCTAAACTAGGCAGTCAGTCCTTAAGCAGTCCTTAAGCGTAAACAATTTGGGCGACTAGCGCCGTAGATTGTGAGACTTCTTCGCTGAATCGAGAGTAAATGCGTGCCAGTCGCGTCGTGGGAGACCAGGATGCGCCTCTGAGACATTCAGGAACGGGTAAGGTTCGAAAGAGGGGCGGTTGTCTGCGGTGTCTTGTACTCTATTGCATTGCTGAGTTGCAATGCACGGCTTCTAGCGAGCGGATAGCGCGTCTGTAGATTTCTCATGGAAAGAGAGGAAGAAGAAAGACAGACGGAAGGGATGGCAGGCAGTCAAGCTAGTCGAGGTCATCGCGTCCTGGTGATGTCGGAACTCATGCTCTTTCCATCGCGTTTGAAGCTTCCCACTTGAGAATACTCTTCCTCAGTTCAGTTCAGTTTGTAGATCAAGCACAACACGCATGCGGAAAGATAGGAACTGGTTGGTATGCGAAGACGAACAACCCGCGCATAGTACTGCATAACGGATTTAGACACGCCTCACGAACAGCGGTTCATGTTCTCTTGAGAAGAAAAAAAAAAGATAATCGCGACTTCCGCTGTTATTATCGAGATCACAATTTACGATGATGGTGACGCAGCGGCGGGCGAGTCCCCGTCGCGGCGAGGCCATCCCGAGCTCGCGCCGACACTTACAATCGTTTCTCTCGGTTCAGCTCACGATCTTACTCCTAAGCATGACGGCGCCCGTATTCGGCACGCCAATATCGTATTTCCCCTTCAACTCGCAACTCCCGCCCGTGGCGCGCGTCTCGGAACCATTCTCGTTTAGCTTCTCGCCTATAACATTCTCATCCGAAGAAGAGATGAGCTACGCACTCGCCGAAGGCTCACCTTCATGGCTCTCGCTCGACAGCGCATCGCGAACGCTTTCTGGTACGCCAGACGACGCCACGGTGCCCCCGGGCGAGATACTTACCGGCGTTGTAATCACGCTTATAGCAAGCGACGTCACAGGCTCCACGGCCGCGAATGCAACGCTCGTCGTGTCGCGCGGTCCGGAACCTGTTGTGCGAATACCACTCCTAGAGCAAATCGAGAAATTCGGTCCGTACTCAGCACCAGCATCCATATTGCTTCGCCCGGCAAGCGAGTTCGATTTCGAATTTGATCCGAATACATTTGGTGCTGGTGTCGCGAAGAACGGGGATGACCAAAACAAGGTCCATGATAGAAGAAGCGAGGCTTCAGATGAGAAAGCAGCGGCAGATGGAACCATGAGCGGAACAGAGCCACTACAACTGAACTATTACGCCGTATCAGGTAACAATGCGCCTCTCCCATCCTGGGTTGCGTTCGATCCCAAAAAGCTTGCCTTTTCGGGCAAGACACCGCTGTCCGAGCTCCTTGCACAACCGCCTCAAAGATTCGACTTCCAGCTCGTAGCTTCGGATGTTATTGGGTTCTCGTCAGCATCTATCCCCTTCTCGATCATGGTGGGCAACCACGAGCTCACTAGCGAGGAGCCCGTCGTTACAATAAACGCCACGAGGGGAGAACATCTTGAGTATTCGGACTTGCCCAAGATATTGAAGTTGGATAAGCAACCGCTTAAAGCCACAGATGTTTCGTCTATTAAAGCCGACGGTCTGCCAAAATGGCTCGCTTTCGATGAAGAATCTTGGAAGATTAGCGGGACGCCGGATTTAGAAGCACAACCGAGTAACATCACAATTGCGGTAATCGACAAACTTTCGGATGCGTTAAATGTTACTCTGGCAATAGACTTCTTGGCCGAGAAGATCTTCGTGTCCGACCTACCCAGCCTCAATGTATCAGCAGGGGATGATTTCTCGTTTGATCTTAACAAGTTCCTCTTCAACCCTACGGACACGCAATTAACGGCCAAGATAGAGCCCGATGACTCGTGGATTCGATTTGATGATTCGTCTAAAATTCTCTCGGGAACAGCGCCCAAGCTTTTCGATGCGAAGCTTGCTGACGAGATTCGAATTAATCTCACCGCAACTCACAAGCGTACGAAACAGAGTGAGACAAGAGACATGAATATTCACGTGAATAGACCGGTTGGTAATACAGACAAAGCTCCTCCCGCGAAGGACCCTCCCAAGCGAGACGACTCGCATCGGGACTTATACTGGCTTCTTATAATCCCGGCCATGCTTATCGCGGTTGCTATCATCCTGTCGATCTTCATGGTGCGGAAACGACGACATCAACCCAAAAAGCTTGACTTCTCCGAGGTATCGGGGCCCGTGCCAGGTACTTTCGTGGCAAACGGGTACATGGATCCCTCGTTAGATGAGATACGGAAGATGGTGGATATGGGGCCAGAGGGGCCATATATGCGAGCCTACATACCAGCAACCGCTGCCAATCCTCGAGTACCTCAGGCAGCAGCAAAGCCGAGAATTGAAGTAGACCCTGTTACTCCACTTTCCAAGGCAAGGCAGCCCGGGTCGAACAAGCTGGCACACCAAGGTAGTCGGATTAGAGATTCCTGGCTGGGCTGTCAACATTCTCGGCCGTCCCCTACGGGCACAGATGAAGTTAGTCTATTATCCAACAGAAGCGGCGGGGGAGAAGATCACGGTAACGAAACCTTATTTGTAAAGAAACGAAGGCCGGGAGAAAAGGTGCAGGAGAAGAAGATTGGTCTCGAGGTCCCGGAAACTGCCGAACCGTTCAGTATACAGCCGACTCCCGATCTTGCTTATGCGGTAACGAGACGGTATGAGTACATTTCCGATGAAGAGACACGGCCTAGTATCGGTTCTTCAGCACAACGACAATTAAGTCACCAGGATAACACAAATTTCAGCCTTCATAAACGATTGAGCATGTCGAAGTCACCGGACACGAAACGAAACAGTCAACATAGTACATCGACAGATGTGACAACTTGTACAAGTATCCTCACCTCAGGCGTCACCGAGGAAGCGACAACAGCGAGCGCGAACGTCGTGGCGAGACCGACAATAATCCACATACCCGGTAAGCCAGGCGAGGCGCGACAACTGAGTAGAAGAACAGGTGGTTCGACAACATTCTTTGCTGGCGGTTCTATCACCCAGTCTCAGCGGAATTTTGGGCGGGAAAAGGATACGATGTCCTTCTCAGCATATTCCCCTACCAAGGACCTTCGATCTTCCACCG